TAACACTTCTATACCTCCTGCCTGAGGGTAGAAGTGTGAACAGTCCATGTTGGGGGTGGGTGGGGTCTTTAAGAATGGAGGCAGCTCTCCTGTGAACCCTGCGGTGGTAAATGCTCTGCAGAGAGGGCAGTGAGGTCTTGAATTTACGGTAGTACTTGTCGTTTATAAGTCCAACAATAGAATACCACTTTCAAGTGACTCCTTGAGAAACGGTGTATGCCGGCCAAATACCTGCCTTATGACGATCTGTAGCGGAATATGCAGCTGAGACACTAGTGGCATACCATATGATTTTCATGCTGTTCGTGCAACACAGCCGATGGAGCTGCAATCCAGAATCACATGCTTCAAATGAGTGCTAAAAAGCATGAGGTTGATGCAGAGTGTCAAATGTTCAACAAGTTATGGAATACTAAGTATTTTAAGTAGCGATACTCTGCCCCCGAGAAGACGGAGTGTCTTCAAAATCTGTTCCTCTCAAGGTGAACAATTACAAGGCAGGTTGAGGACATCACAGGAACTCTGGAGCTACAGCTGAAAAGCAAAGCTGAAAACGTATTTTCCTTGGCTCTGGATGAGAGTTGTGATGTGAGAGAGACAGCCCAGAGGTGCTATTCAAGTTGGTGCTTAAACCATGTGATTGATGTTGTTACAAAAGTTGTACTTTTTATCAGGGCATTAATCACAGGCAATTTGTTGAGCTGTTGAAGGAGCATGAGACTGAACATACTGATATGAGTTACTATAAAGCAAAGTGCTCAAAAGAGTGTTGGACCTGAAAACAGAGATTCAGGAGTTTTGTTAGATGAAAGGAAGGAACATCCCTGAACTAATCAGTGCAGAGTGGTAGGCTGTTCTGACATCTTCAGGTGACATAAAATTCCTCATGAATGAACTGAACTCAAAATTGCACAACCTTTAGATGCACAACCTATAGTCAAGGCCTTCATAAACAAGCTGTTGTTTCTCTCTTGACAGGTGGAGAGCAACACACTCACCCACGTTCCCACACTAAAATAAATCTGCTGATCAAGCAGATATGCAGCCACGTTGAAAGAATTGCATGGTGAGTTCTCCAGGCAATTTGAGGACTTCAAAAATTTGGAAACTGAAATGCTCAAAATCTCCTCTCCTTTTACATGTGATGTGGACAATGTCCTCCAGTGATGTACAACTTGAAGTCATAGAAATTGCAGTCTGATGCACAGTTGGCACAGCACTTTAAATCAGTGCCATTACTGACATTTTACTAATCTCTCAGAGAGGAGAGCTTCCCATATTGCAGGAGTCTAGCTCAGTGGATCAACATATGAACAGACATTCTCAGCAATAAAATAGTACAAATCAAGCTACATATCTTCGCCCAGTGATGCTGCGCATAGTAACATCGGGTATTTACACCTGACTTTAACTCACTAGCTCAAGCCCATCAGAGACCTGGCTCCTTCCACTAAACTGGCAAAACTAGGCATTGGTGTAATTTGTATCACAGAGAACATACTGTTGTAGTCAAAAAGACCATCCTAATGACCAATGCATTTGTTGGTAAGAGTTCTTGTTAAAGATACAAAGAGAAACACAGGATGGGTTATGTTCATTAAAGTATCTATGTATCACATGTGAATTTACAGTGTGAAGAGCCAATCTTTATGTTGTAATTTTTCTTCTTGTTTTTTGGCATTGAGAATCTACAGTGGATTATACAACAACAATATGTTCTCAAATGTGGAAAAAGTAACATGTGAATGTATGCATAGTTATAGATTAACAGGTTTGGAGTTCTTTCAAAATGTTTTATTGATTTTAGTTTTTCACCAGAAACAGTCAGACCTGTACAGTAACTCTTAAATTAAATGTCTTCATAAAATGCAGTTTGGAGCAATTACCAGTATAAGAAATGCTGAAGAAAGAGTACACAGTATGTTTTCTTTAATTTAATCTAGTGATAACAATAGAGGTTATGGTAATACAAAATTAGTTTGGCCCCTGGTCACAGTCTGGGTTTCATATGTGGCCCCCTGGAAAAATAATTGCACACCCCTGATCTAAAATATACATTGGGTATGAGCTAT